AAAAAAGGTACTGACTGCTATTATAAACAATCACACTGGCAGAGTGTGGGATTTCGAATAAAGACAAAGTCTGAAAAGAAAACCCTGGGAAGAAAAGTTTTTTTGTGCAAATTCTTCATTGCCTCTTTGTGTTTTGTCTTTCACATACATACATTATAAGCTTTGAGTGTGAAATCACCCTGCCATGCAGATCTAGGGAGAGTGAAGCACACTACCAAAGAAGAAAAACAAAAACTTGTTACAGGTTTTGGACAAGAGATGCAAGGACATTGGAAGGTAATATGAATCTTTACCTGCGTCCCAGAGTGCCTGCTAGCTGGTGCACCCACTGTTGAAAGCTTCCTGTATGGAAAAGGTCAGAGAAAAATCATGAGTTTATATCAGCCTGCAGTAGCTTTGAATGCTTTTTGAAGTTAGTCACTAATATTGTGTAGGATATAGGCTTTGCAGTATTATTTTATTGAAAATCAGGGTTTTGGTAAGATTGATTAGCATTGATTTGTGTTTTGATGTTATGATGTCCATATCCTATTCTTAAATATGAAAAGCATATCATATTTTTTTACTGATGGCCAGTCTTTCATTGAGCAGTTAAGTCTTAATCAGTTAGCAGCAGTAATTGGATGTTTATACAAGATACACTCTTAAAAATAAAGGTGCTTCAAAAGGTTCTTCAAGCGATGCCATAGAAGAACCATTTTTGGTTCCACAAAGAACCATTCAGTCAAAGGTTCTTTAAAGAACCATCTCTTTCTTACCTTTTTATAATCTGAAGAACCTTTTGTGAAACAGAAAGGTTCTTCAGATGTTAAAGGTTCTTTATGGAACCAATTATACAAAAAGGTTCTTCTATGGCATCGTGAAGCACCTTTATTTTTAAGAGTGTATAAGAGAGGATCCATTACCCTGGGGCTTCCTGGAAACAAATCAGTGGGAAACGGCTGCATGTATTTGAAATAAACACATCCCCCCTGACCCCATCCCACTGAGAGCCAGAAAACTTGACTCAAAAATGGTGAATTTGCCTTGCAAATGAGTGTGCCTTCCCTCTGGTGACATGTTAGTTTAGAGCCACTGGTCCAGGATGTTTAAGGAAGATCCTGTCAAAAGCAATTTGTCTTTAGTTATGTAAGGTGGACAGTGTTATTGGCATGAGTCAATGCTGCTTATCATATATGGAGTGACAAAACATGTTTTTTTTCCCCAACCCTAGCCAAATTAGAATTATCCACCATTCTAATTTCTCCTGAATTATCTGATGTGTTCGGCCACTGCATAACTTATATATCCAACTGGCTTAATTCACCTCAGCTTCCTGCCAAGAGTTGTCTTGATAAATTACATTTTATACTGATGTCTGTATAGTCTTTGGTCTTTTTCAGAAAACACACTGTAATGATTGGTTATTTTTGAGATGAAGTAATTTTTGAAAGAAACGATGATGATAAATTATTGTTGTTGGTATAATAATGATGACTTCATAATGAGTAAGGAAACAGAACAGGAAACGTATAATATTTTGAGAAAGTACTGGTGAAAATTCAGCCTAACATTACATTCTTATACATGAGTCATACTGTATAATTTGAGAGCCTGGTGAATTATAGCCTTGCTTTGTGTGTTTGCTCAGCTTGAATGGTATTGTCGTTTTAATGCCATGATCTCAGCACACATACGGGCACCCGCTGTGGTATGAATGGAGTTTGCAGGTCTCAGATCCCCAGCCTAACATCCTTTAAATGAGTGTGATATCATTTACGAATGCCTCATATTCAGATAAGGCATTCAATCGGAGTATTTTTCTCTGTCTGTTTCCTGTCTCAGGAGAAGGGAGGATAAATCCACACACTGAGGGATTATATGTTGTCTTTCACCTGCTTCTGAATGTTCGCTTTGAAGTGATGAAACATTTTGAAAAGGGCTGTGGAGAGGAGAGAGGATTTACCTTGCACCTCTGTAAGGGCATGTTTTGATCTAAATGGCTTCATATGAAATCCTTGTTCAGTATGTTCTGTATCACTCAGAGGCATAGTGGTGTCCTTTTTCCTGCCGCTTTATCCTAAACATCTATGTCTAAACATATGCATGTACATACTGTATGTAAAATGTATATGAAATAGATGCCATCTAAAAGCTCCTTTTGGAGAGACATTCCTTCAATCCTTATTTATTGTCTTTTTAATGTATCTGATTACAGTTTAATGCATGATATTTTAGTAAATTGTGCCAGGTCAAACACATTAGGCACATGTTTTTTCCCCTCACCTTATATATGCAACCTGTTCTGCTCAGTCCCCTTTTTTAGATCTCATCTAAAAGCTTCTTTTGGTGACACATTCCTTCAGTCTCTCATTTCTTTTTTGGTTACTGTATCTGATTGCAGTTTAATTACAGGAAATAAAGTACATCATGGTGAAAAAATACAACTTCTCACAATCCTATTGATTTTGATTACTGAATAAGCTCAGAGGGGTTTCCAGTAATGACATTTGATCAAATGTAATGGTAACTGTGAATAGAGAATGGAGTTGCATCCCCCAAAGTTTGTTTTGCTTCAACATCAGTCAGTTTGGTTTCTTTAACACAGAAAAACAAGTAATTCAATTTGAATCTGTGGTTTCCTGCAGCTGATATAGAAGAAATTACTCTGACCCTGTCTATGGATATTGTGCCCGGAAAACATCCTCAGGTGTGCTTAAAGATGGCACCTTTGCTTCCCAAGTTCCCACACTCCTGACTGTATCCTTACACCATTATGCATGAATTTGCCAAGTACACAACATGCTGTAGTTATAAAGGCTTATGTCAATGTCTTCTTAATTGCAATATACAGGCTTTAAGGTTAATTCCTAAACGAAAGGTGTTGAAAAAATGAAAGGTGATATAAATTCAGCAACCTTGCAATTGGTAGCATGTTGCAATAGATGTTATAATTAGGGCAAAACTTGACACATGGTAATGCATGTTTTAAGCATTTGCCGATGTGTGGCCATATGGCCTGTAGCAGACAAATACTGCTGGAATGAGGAAAAGGAAAATGCTCTTAATTGCTCTTAATTGTAGCTTGACTAATAATAGTTAATGACCAGAAATAACAAATAATAGTGGAGCCAAATAAACAAAACCACTGTGTTCACAAGACGCATTGATGTTAAAGGTTCTTCATGGAACCATTATCAAATTCTTCTGGAAGAATTTCAACCATTGTTGAAAATAATGTTGTAAGGCAAACAGAAAGGACAGAGTTTCCTACTATTTTTTTAATCATTATTATTATTGCCACTTGCAGTTTTTAGATTTGTGTTAAGTCAATACACATTAGGCAGATGTTTTCCCCCTTCTTGTTAAGCATAAGCTTCATCCTGTTTACATCTTTTGTATGCATGTAATAAATTGTTCACAATATTTGTATTTATTAATACTATGCATTTCACATTTGTGACCCATTTTCTATCAGCTTTCTCATCACAACATCAAACCTCATGCTGCTGATTAGAGAGAATAAAGGAGATGAAGGGGGAAAAAGCATTTCACAAGCATGGACACATATGCCGTTGATTAGACAGCTCTAATGTGTCAAGCTTCAGGTCATTACATGCTCTGTGAATATTTGTTTGTCAATGTATGCAAATGGGACAGGTTCAACTTCACACACTACCATATGGCTGTCCACTGAGAGACAAAAACAAATCAAAAACAAAGACGTGGCTCCAAGTAAGAAAGAAAAAGGGGGTAAGGGAAATTCAAGTTTGTTTGATAAACCTACAGTATGGTGTGGTACATCATCTTACTGTTTCATGAACTGCTTATATTGTTTTTGCTTTAAAGTTTGTCTACATAAACCTACAAATATGATTGTATTATTATTTGGATTTGTTTGGAGGCACTTACACGCCACTTGCAAGAGGCTCATTGTGGGGCTGTTAACAAACAAATCATTTGATTTCAAGAAGTATCTTCCCTTTTCCCTTTTTAAAATTTATTTTCATGCTGCAAATTGAACTGAATTTAAAAGTACGGTATAGTTCACAACAAAGTGTTATAATGTAAAACCTGTATGGCTTTCTTCTTTCTGTGGAACACAAAACATGCTGTCCAAACAAACATTAGACCATTCTGACTTTTATTCTATATGGACCAAAAATAAATACATAAAAATAAAGCACTGATGCGTTTTTCAGATATCTTCTTTTGTGTTTCACATAAAGAAAAAAAGCCATGCAGGTTTGGATCAACGTGAGGGTGAGTATATAATGACATGATTTTCATTTTTTGGTGAACTAACCCTTTAAGAAAATATTATTGATCATATTGTGTTGGACAATTTGTTTTTTAATTGTTTTAATAAACACTATGCTATTATGTTATGCATTACAAGATTTGACTACCTATAATAATTACAACATTTAAATTAACAGGTTTTATTTAAATTAAATATGTCAATTTATTCCAAAACCACTTTAAATGGGTCAAATCATGTAGAAATATCTCTTATTATTCATAATTGCAGGTTACCACTTTTTGCAGTGTGTTGTCAGTTAACCTAAAATGTAGTCTATGTGGTAACATCTGGTTTTATTCAAGTCAAAAATATGATTGAATTTACCCGACTGCTATAGTTTGCCAATGTCATTTTTTACAGTGAAAGCTTTATGACATATTGACATTCTCACATCACAGAGTGTATTAAATATAGGCTATCTGACCTCTAATGTTGGTTTCAAGCAATAATAAATAGCTAGTTTCACAGGGTACATGCTCTTGTGCAGCTGTTCAACCTGTTGATGTAAAGTAAACCTATTATAGATTCTAACGTGATGATAATGAGGGCTTATTTTCTTGACCAGCAACCATGTTATCTCTCGCTACGGTGTATCAACTCAGCATATATGAACAGTTTGCAAATCGGCCGGGTCGCTGTGATGGATCAATCACATCGCATGAGCTGACGCAAATGACCCTGCTCTCTTTCAAGAACTCTTTCAAAACGAACATGGCGGCAACGTAACGTTTGGCCAAAATGACTGTGGATCGTTTCGCGAGAAAAGATCCCACCTTGTCGGACCGAGGAGGCGAGATTCGGCGTTTCGAAACGAGGAGTCCTTGCGCTTTTCACCAGAGCGAGCGGCCAGACACTGGCTTTTCCGCGTTGTAGCGGCTCTGCGCAAAAGGGGAGAGCGGAACCCATGACAGACGAGCAGGGAGAGACATGTTGCTACAGATAGCTGGGTTTTTCTCCGGAGAAGCACGGGGAGAGGGGACTCGACAATGAAAGCAGTAATCCCCCTGAACACAGCAACTGATCGTTAATCGCGGAGGTGAGCCACGACCGCTCGTAAGCCATCGTTTAGTGGGAAAAACTCAAGGCAGACCTCCCGTCAATGACTATTGTGGCAGAAAAGCCCCCACGGTGGAGTCAGCCAGAGCTGCGCTTTCCCAAAATATGACCAGCGGTGCTTGGAAGTGTCGGCAGCGAGATGACGGCTTAAAAATTTGGTGTGCTCCCCGCGAGAACGAGAAGCCATTCACCGACTCCGAGAGGGCCCAGCGATGGCGATTGTCCTTAGCGTCCCTCTTATTTCTAACCGTTCTGCTTTCTGATCATCTGTGGTTCTGCGCCGAGGCCAAACTGACAAGGACCCGAGACAAGTTAGCTTCAGTGGACATGAGCGCAAACCATAGACCCGACCTCCCTTCAACACACAGCAGCCTCAGAAGAAATGAAGATGCTATTTTTGTAGTCAATTCTACCAAACCTTTGTGGCAACTAGAAACTTGCCAGCCGGATGGTTTGTCTGAAAACTGCTTCACTTTTGTCGACGCTGACCACTTGTGCAGGGGCCTTTCGCAAACGGAGGGGACGCGGTGGATGAACATAAGCGATTTGTACCTTTCCTTTTGTAATTCGTACTCTCTTATGGATTTGCTTTACGGATCGTTAAGTCCGGACAATTTGAACTGCAGCCTTAATGTGATCGTGGACGGCGACCTAAACAGCTGCAGTCTGTGCGTTCAGGCGTACCAGCGTTATGACCTGCACGCGCTGGAGAAATATGAGGAATTTGAGATGATGGCAGACAAATACGAGACGGATGTGTACTCAGTAAGGACGTGCATGGAAGAATGCAAGGTAGGGCTTTATGATCTGGATCTCTCGTTTTCGCTGAATAGAGTTGGCTCTTCGTTCTCTGTCGTCATGGTAACTGGTGACAGTAACGCGGTGATGTTTTTGTGGGGGGAAAGTGCTTTTCATATTGTATTCGTTTTTCCCCGCATTTCGCATCTGTTGGTGGTGCCAACTTTGCAGTCATTTCATTTCCGAGACGGTTGGAGGGTGAAAAATCAGACAGGCTTTTAAACTTTTCCTTTACAGCTGTCTCAAATTATTCCTAGAGCGATCAACGCAAAATCCATGAGAACATGTTGCTGCTGATCCAAGGTTACTGTGTCAATGCACAAAACGCCGCACAGCAAATCTTTCAACGTGCGTGCGTCATTCTATAGCGCGCAGGTGCGTCTCTCTGAACTGAATATAGAGCTGCTCCGCCAGGTGTTCATTCACGTCCGCCACACTGAGTACATTTCAATAACGCTAATAGGGCAGCGGTGCTTTCTCGGCTAATCTCTCACAAGAGTATTTTCCCTCGCACATTGGTCTTGTTTGCACAGCACTCTGCGCGCGCTGCAACAGGGTGCCCTCTTAACCGCCATAAACTTGACATTAAGGTTAATTTTCGAGCTCCGGCTGTCATCTTAAATGGATTGCTCCTGGGCGACGAAAAAAATGGCACACTGTGTATAGTTGCTGTGTGCTGATAAGGAAGCGATCTGGCCGTGTTCTTTACGCGTCTGTGTTGCTTTGCGTAATTAATGGTCAAACATTTACCGAGAGCTTGTAAGTTGTCGTTTAAATTAAGGAGGCACAGATAAGCTGGTGAATAAGTGGGTGGCGTGTTTTGCTTATTCACTGGTTCATTTGGTTCAGGACTCGATCGCTGTTCACGGAGTCTGTGCTCGCTGTCCGTGGTGCTGAAACACGCTTAGTTCTACAATGAAAGGGGCAGACCTTTTGATGCAGGGTACATGTTATTACATGAGCAATTTGTATTTTGTTTTACAGCATCATTGCCAGTGACAGTTATGACATTGGACCTTTGCATCTGTGATACACCTGCACTCCTAAAGTTGCCTTTCATGAAAAAAAGCTGTTTTGTTAGTCCAAAATAATAGTAATAATGTAGTTAGTATCAACACAATTTCATATAGGCTGACAGTGAGGCTGTGTGCTTATTTCAACCTTTTGATGAGTTACATTCCTTTTCAGGACAATTCATACTGCCACCTGTGCATGGTGTTTTCTTTGCCTTCGCCATATCTTAGCAAAGTGACAGCCACAGAATTGCTATTCAGAAACCTCCCATATATAATCTCTCTGCAACAGCCTCTACAGAACAATTATTTCTATTAAATGCTTGCAAAGTATTGTTTGAGGATAGAAATTCTGGTCAGTAACCACAAATTAGTATTTTGTGTTATTGTGGATGATAAGTCTACAGTATACTGTTTTGCAGCATTTTCTTTCTGTGCAGGAAAACATAAGTGCTCATCATTGCTGGCACAATACAGCTGAATATATTGTGTCATTGCAGTGCATTTATATTGAATGCTTTTTATGGCTTTCAAATGGAAAGAATGCATGTAGTAGAATATTTGGACTGTTCTGTTTCTCAGACATTTTCAAGCGTTAATGTAACTGTCGAACCATGTTACCATAGACTGATAAACTACCAGTGAGTGTGAATGAAGGCCGTAATGCAGAGGGAGGTGGCAGGAGTCAGTCAGAGCCTCTGGCAAGCAGCTGCAAGGGATAGCCAGTCCCAGCTGTGATTAAGCAGCGAGAGATAGAGACAGAAAGAAAGACAGAGAGAGACCGAGAGGATGGGTAATCACTGTGACACGCCGTCTCTGACAGCCGGATCAGCCTTCAGTTTGATTTAATTCGGCACCTTCCTTTCACTGCATCGGAGTGTGGAAGACTGCGTGTATGGGTTTGTATTATGTGTAAATGTGCTAAAGGTTCAGTTCAATTGCTATGAATAAACCAGACATTATAAATAGGTAACAAACAAATGAACGAAGGGAGGGGGTAGCGATTAGAGGAATAAACTAAGAAGGTTTTACTCAATAGTGTGCTATTCTTAGCTACTGTATTGAGCTCTGCACTGTTGCACTGGTGTTACAGCTAGGCTGTTCTGTGACAAAGCAATCACATCAATGATAACATGGACCACATTTAGTGTCTCAGAGACCAAAAGTGGACAGTACTTTTCTTCAAAGGTGGAATGCCTTTGATGTTCTTTTTTACACTACAGTGTGTTCTCTTATGTCAAGTATTTAATTCATCATGCAGAATAACTTCAAGAAGTCCATTCTGTTACTTGCCCTGACTTTTCCACTCACTGTGATTCAAAATAATTTGATTCTAGCAGTGAAACCTGCTGTTTCTTGCTGTAGCGAGTTGAATATATGCTGGCCTCATTACATTTCAATTGGAAATGTGGATGAAAACCTCCTAATGTAGGTTCTGAATGCTTGGCGTAGATCTTTGTGATTTTCACTGATTGACTCTTATAGGCAATAGAGAAAGGCTTGTGGTATGGAACTGATAGCTATTGGGATGAAACCCTATTTACTGAGAATAAATAAGGACAAGCCCAACATTCCTCTAAGAGCATAGCTAGTGTTAGTACACTTGGCAGGGTATGATCCTCTCAAGGGTTAGCACAATTGTTTGTTCATCTCTTTTAAAGTTGTCTCATTTTTGGGACATCACCATTCTGTCTGTTGCACACATTTTCCTGTATTGCAATACAGTTGAATAATTGGTAATTTAATAATCTCCAATATAGATTTCCAAATTTTTCCATTTTGTATCCTCTATCCAGTATTCCTAAATTAAAGCAATAGTTCCCCCCAAAATGTGAATTCTGTCATAATTTCCTCACCACTCTAAAAAAAGATGGTTCTTTAAAGGTTCTTTACGTGTAGAACCAGTTCTGTTTAGAACCATAGCATCCTGAATAACTCTTTTAATGTTGAAATGGTTCTTTGTGTCAGAGTTTAGGGTTCTTTATTCTCGCTCCTTTGTTTTTCAAATCTGTAACTGTCAAAGCACCTCATTTCTGAGTTTCTGGAGTTCAGTGATCCAACTACACAGACTGGCAACACACTTTGGTAACAGGTAAATTATTTCATTCTAAAATTTAAATACAAATATAACTTTAAAACTGGTTTTCAAACAAACATGTTCTTTTCTCTTCTTTTTTGATCACATATAAGTGGAAGCAGCTCTGGCTGAGGAAACTCCTCTTCTCCACCAAGTAAGTAACAGAGACATTGAATTTATAATCCATATGGTTAGTTTTTAAATAATTATTTATTTATTACTAACAGAGGCTACTCTCTAAAAAAGATGGATCATTAGGCCTACTGATTTTCTGGAGTTCAGCTATCCAACTACACAGACTGTCAACACACTCTCAGCAGGTAAATGGTTTCTTTCTTAAAATGTCTATAATTTTTTAACTTTCAAATTGTAACTGGTTTCTTACAAATCATGTCTTTTTCTCTTTTCAGTTTAAGAGAACATGTAAGTGTGACCAGCCCTGTTCAGTTAAGGATACTTTTCTCCTCTTCACCACTAAGTAACACAAATATTTAATTAATGGTCATTTTTTGTTTTTGTTTTTACAAAAACAAATGGAAGGAGACACACTGTAACTCTGAACTCAATTGTGTATTTCAGATGATGCCACATCCTACAACCTCGTCATCTGCAGAGAGAAACGGCCACTCAATCACACCAAAAGACACATTGATGAACTTACAGGCATCATAGAGGATTATGAAAATACAGTATTTACAGAAACTTAGTCTTCATTTCACTGTTTTCAGTTTCTATTTTGTTTTACTTCTTTAAGTATTTATTTATGTTCAATGTCAATTGTCATTTTTTAATGTATTCTGCTAATAACTGTTGTTAGAGCACTGTCATTTTTGCCACAAATTCACATGTCATTAAAAAATAAAAGTACCTAATTCACACGTTGTTGTTGTTTTTATGTAAAACCCTAATAGACACTACAGGATATTGTAATACCAGGCAGATAGAGGAGTAAAAAACAATATTAATAAATAATATATAGAAATAATATTAATAATGTTGTAAATATGTTAATATACTAATATTAATGAAAATAAACTATCATTAGAAAGGTTATTTATAACACCATTAATGTCCTATATAGCATTTTCAAAGCATGGTTCTTTATGGAACCCTATAAAAAGGGTTCTGCTATTGTTACAAGCCGAAGAACCCTTTTCTGGTACTGTTTAGAACCATTTTTCTTAAGAGTGTTTCTCCATACAGACCTTGGAGCTCATTTTGCATTCCCAGACAAGGGGGACTTCGACTCGCCTCACCCCAGCCACGGTGAGGGTACGTGGGCTAGGCATCACTCCATACAGACCCTGGAGCTCAGTTTGCATTCCCAGACAAGGGGGCCTTCGACTCGGCTCACCCCAGCCACGGTGAGGGTACGGGGGCTAGGCTCTTATTGTTCTCATCTGGTTTTCTTTCTTTTGTGAAACATGGAAGATAGGTTGAAGAATGCTGACAGAATCAAATAATGACAAAACGTTTATTTTTAGGCCAAACTTTTATTTTAACAGGGTGCTTTGCTCATTTGACTCAACCAACTGTAAGTGGATCCAGGATTTGCTTGTCACTGAGCTTCACATGGAGTGGGTTTGGAAAATCTGAAATGCAAATTATACAAAACAGAAGCTCCTACATTGCTATCATGTTTATGAAGGGAAGTTTTTTGTTCGCTTTCCTACTCTTTTTATTCTGGAAAATGCAGACAGTGCTCCTCTGTGTCTTATTAAGGCTATCACTGTTCACTGTGTTATTTAAACAGGGATTTTATTTGTGTTAGCCAGCAAAAGATGACTATCAGAAGGCTAGTTTCTTTATCCACATCCTGGCATGAAACTTCTGAACTGATATAAAACCAGTTACAGAGGACAGAATTGGTGACTACTAAATCTTTCTCTGTGGATGATCACATT